AAAAAAAAGAAAAAGATTATTTTGAAGGTAATCAATGAGATGTATATAAAAGCTTACCTGACAGATGGCAATGCTTAATACGTATGCACAATGGTGATGATGATTTCATCATGTATCTGGTGGGCTGTCCTAACGGAGGAGGGAGAAGAGTCATTCTGTCTGACTTCAGAAAGGAGAAAAGGACTAATGGGTAGAAGCAGAAAGAAAGAGAATCTGGTTCAGCATAAAGAGACCTTTCAAATAATCAGAATTTCTCAGTGAAGAAATGAGTTCTTGGTTACCAGAGAAGCTCACTACATTCTGTTTTGTAATTGGGAAAACAAGTCATGGGGATAAGATACCATAGATTAAGAGCATCAGAGAAGTCATGAGATAAACCAATATGGCAACAAGCCCTACCTTTCTATTCTTCCTCTATTGAGGAATCTCAAAGTGTGGATTTGTAGGTAACCTTGAAGACCATGGATTTGGATTGAACTCTTTCGCTGTTTCCTGCCTCACAATAAGCAAGATGAAGAGCTTGGGCTTTGTCGTCCAATTCCCCAATTTAGAATCCCTGCTCTATTAGTTATCAGCTGTGCAATCTTTGTTAACTTAGCTAACCTCTCTGAGTCCAGTTTTTTCTTCTGTAAATGAAGCAAACTACCTAACATCCTCACGAACAAAGATCAGAGATAATATATTTCTTGCCATAATGATAAACATTATGGCAAAGTGGGCTGGCTTTACATGTGAGACAGGCAAATTCAAGCCTTCTGGCCTTTTGTTCCTGGTGGGGATGCGGGTGGTGGCGATTAGATAAGGAAACTCTGCTACATCAGCAAGCACACATGCCAAAATTGCACTTACGATACAGATATGGGAGACAGGCAAATTCTGAAAGCCTCTCGGTCTTAAAGTCTGGTACTTTCACAGAAGGAATAAAATCAGAGGTGGTAAATGAAGCTTTTCTGTCATTGCTGAGAATCTACTGTGTGTTAGGTTCTGAACTCAGCGTCCTACCAACTCTTCACAATGGCTAGAAAGGGACAGCGTTACTGATCATGAGGTTGGACTGGAGAACAGGTTCGCAATTGTCTTATGCACCATCCCTAAAGCATTTCTAAATCTATACAGGGTCCCTGGAGCTTTGCACTGACTTTCCCAGAGCTTACCAGGACTGGATCTCCCCCATCTCACTGCAGTGCCCAAAGCTTTGGCCGGAGCACCTTTGCCTAAGATTCAGCTTCTGACAGAGTCAGGCTTGTGGCTGAGGGCACGTCACATCCTTCATGATGAGAGCCCCCCCACACACACACACACACAGCACCTTATGCTGGGATACACTGCGAACACTAACAGATAACCTTTTCTCTCTGCCTCCCAGTGTGACGGAGTTGGGGTGGACCTGAGTAACATCTTCCTTGAAGGCATTGCCATTCTCAACATTCCCAGCATGTATGGTGGCACCAATCTCTGGGGAGAAACCAAGAAGAACCGGGCTGTGATCCGGGAAAGCAGGAAGGTCGTCACTGACCCCAAGGAACTGAAATTCTGCGTCCAAGGTAAGCCAGGCATGAGAAAAATTGCTGTAGGTCCGTGCCCTGGTGGGAGGGGTATTCAGGTGGGTCTATTAGCAAACTGTGTCAGGCCCACAGCAGGCTCTAGAAAGCCTACAGCCTGACAAGGACCCGTTGCCCTGAGGATATGCTGACTCATCATCTCTGATGTTGCAAAGCTGACAACCTAATTGAGAAGAGAAAATTAACAAGAAGGGAGCCCTAAATGACAGTCAGTAGTCCAACTGTGGGACTCCATGATGTCAGGAGCCAAATGTTCCTCCTGTAAGGTTACCAGTGTCTTTCAGTAACTAAATCTAATAATAGTCAATTCTCAACCTTGATCTCACTTTACCTGTCAGCGGCTTTTGACCCAATTGATCACTCCCTCTTCCTGAATATACTTGGTTTCTAGGACACCACACATTCCTGGTTTTCCTACCCTACTCTTTCTCAGTCTCTTTTACTGATTGTTCATCTTCTCTCTAACCTCTTGATGCCAGGACCCTCTTCTTTTTTCTGTTTCTATTCGCTTCCTTGATGACCTCATCAAGTGGTGAGACTTTATTTAACTACCACGTGAATGCTGATGACTCAGCATGTCCAAAACTGAACTCCTGATGTCCCTCCCCCAAACCTTCTCCACCCACAGCCTTCTCCATCTCACTCGATAACTCCAACCTGCCGGTTGCTGGAGCCAAAACACTTGGCATCATCCTTGACTCCTCCTTTTATCTCACATCTCACATCCAATTTATCAGAAAATCTGTTAGCTTTACTTTTAAAAGTAAAATATCCACCCACTTCTCACCACTGCATTCCTACCACCTTGGTCTCAGCTATCGTCCTCTGTCCCCTTGGATTACTGCAAACCCTCCTGCCTGAATTTCCTGCTTGTATCCCTGCCCCATAGAGTCTGTTCCCACCGCTGTATCAGAGTACCCCTGCAAAAATATGTCAGATTATGCCACACTCCTGCTCCAAAGCCTGCAGTGGCTCCGAGTAAAAGCCAAAGGTCTTCCTGTGGCCTCAAGGCCTCAGATGGTCTGGCCTCCCCTTACCTCCCAAACTTCATCTTCTGCTGCCCTCTCACTCCCCCTGGCTCCTCTAACACAGCAGGCTGCTTCCATGAACCACTATTCTTTCTGGCTGGAACAACCAGTTAATGTGCCTTTAGAAGCCATCGACTGTGCCTTTCCCGTTTAACCTACCAGGATACAGAACACAGCTTTCTGAGAACACCCTTAAAACTACCTTCACCTCTACCCCTTTCCAGCCATTTCCACCAGTGAACCAAGTGGGGATTCAATCAGAGCTCCTGGCAGCCCTGACTCCTCTGTGGATTGGAGGAAAGGCCCCACTGATCCGCAGGTGTTGAATGGGCTGGTGAGCTGGGCGAGAGAAGCCATGTATGAGGGCATTGGCAAAGACACCACACCAGGAGGCAGGGGACTGAGTTCGAGTCCATGTGCTGCCACTAACCTACTTTTTGACATCTCAGTTTTCTTTGCTATAAAACTAGGATCATATATAAAATGTTCATAGCTAAATAGATGGGGTTGAACCAGATCATTTGTTCTTAAACCTGGCCTCTTGTTGTAAATGAAGATTCCTGGGCCCTAGCCTAGAGCTCCCTAATCAATCTCTGGGTTGGTTCCTGGTAATAAGCTCCCCAGATGACTCTGATGAGCTGCTAGGTTTGCGAATCACGGACCTAGACAAGTGTCCGTGACTCTGGGTCTGTGGTTTCTGATCTTCCAGGCTGTTCATGTTAGGATTGGATGTGATCCCACCAGTAGAAGACAAAACCTGGCTGCCTGTCTAAGGGAAGGTTTTTTTGCTTATTTCACAGCCGTCTATTAGACAACCAGATTGTGATATTCCAAGGCGAGTCATCAAGAGGTGTCATCTCTCTACCTCTACCTTTTAAGAGCGGACTCAGGGATTTTTATTTATCTGTTGCCCTCTTAAGTCCCCTTTATTTCACACAGCGAACTTTTCAATTAGTATAAATTATTAAACTGAATAATGTGTTCCTCCTTCCTCCCTTGGCAGGGGAAGTTGTGGGTACTAGCCGTGGGTGGGGGAAGCATTGGAGAATGCAGAAAGTTCCTGAAAACTTTCCCACCCTGGTGTTCTTACCTCAACCCCCACTTTGGCATCCAGCCCCCTGAGAAGAGAATCAGGGGAGAATCCTCCCCCTCCCCCAACCTGGCAGCTTGGGAAAGCTCTTGCTGAGGACATGCCCTGGTTCAGACTCAGGGACGGCCTGTATCTTTCCCTTACAAGTCTGACCATATACCTCCCCCTGAAAGCAAGAGTAATGTGTCTGCTGATCACTCTTGACCATCGCGTACAGGAACTCTCTTCCTCAAATCCCCCATGTCCACCCCTAGAATGTGCTTTCAGAGCTAAAAATGAAGCTGCTTCCTGTTCTTTGGAGGAGGACATGAGCTGATCAGAGTGGAAACTGACAAGGGGCCCCTGGCTTCTGGGCTTTGCAGAAATACCAACATTGAGCTTTCTTTTTAAAAGGGCCATGGTCTCATGTAAGTTGAGATGTTAATGGGGAAAAGCTAAAGAGACAACCTGTTTTAGTGGAAAAGCATTGGTCTGGGAGTCAAGAGACCTGGATTCCAGTCCAGACTCTGCCTCTCACTAATCTGTGGTGTTGGGCAAGTTCTTTCACCTTCTTGGGTTTCAATTTTCATTATCTGTAAAATAGGCAAGTCTGACAATCACACAAGCTCCTACAGGTCATAGGTTCCTTATGGCTCCACAACATTAAGGTATGGCTAGATTTGGGTCTAGGTAGACTCCTTGAACAGAAGTGTACACGTATGGCAAGTTCCTTCCTTCTTTCAGTGTGTTTTGTCCCACAATTTATAGGCCAGCAGCTGAGAAGACAGGGATCTCTCTCTGCAGGCTCTTCATTTGTTGGGATTTTTTTCCTCCCTGGCAATTTCATTGGGGTTGGAGATGAGGGAGAAGAGGAAATGACAGTAGAAGGGGGTACTGTCAAATCTCTCTTATCAAACATCAGTCTTTCTCCTTGGAAAAGCAATCCAAGAAAGAAGGTGGTTCAAGTTATCATGGAATGAAGTCTATAAGAAATTGGCTGATTAGAAAACAATAGGGGTAACTGGGAAAAATACCAAGCAGTTGAATGACCTGGGTGTAAATTTAGGCTTTACACTTTATCGTTTTATAAACCTTGGGAAGTTACCCCATCTCTCTGAACCTCAGCTTCCTCATCTATAAAATGGGTATAATAAGACCTAGTTTTTTATGAAGGTGATGGATGTGCAAGTGCCTGGAATACAACATAAGCTCAAACTTAAAAAAAATTTCCCCTCCTCTTTAATTCTATTTTATGCTGGAGCATACCAGTTGGATTCCTTATTTTGAAGTTCTTATCTTTAGCATTGCCATCTACATGCACTATCACTAAGAAAGAGCAGAGTTCCTGCCAAACTCTAGCCCAGCCTTTGTCCTAGCACATTAAACTCGTACCATCAATTGTACTGTACCTACTGTCTCCTTTCCTAGACCTTTAAGATTTCAAGGAAGGAGGCTGGATGTAGATTGTCTTTGTTGTCTTTGTATTCCCAGTACCTGAGCCAGTGTAGTTAGTCAAAAAAAGGTTGTTGGATCAATGAGAAATACATGGCATGGTTCTGTTTCGTTTTTATAACACCAGTAAAAATAGTGACAGATAGTCTCGTGTGTTTATTTCATTTTGGATTTCAAATAGTTTTGCATATATGAACTTAATGTAATTCTAACCAGAAACCCATGAGCAAGGTTATACCTTCTCCCATCCATGTCCCTGTTTCATACTGGGGAAAAACAGAGGCCCAGAGGAGAGGTAGGGCTCATATGATTGATGTCCAGTGGTGGCATCAGAACCAAGTCCATGATTCCTAGTCTAGCCCCAAGTGGCTAGTATCCAACTAGAAAATTTGTTTGAGGTCCAGCTGTGCGTATTGCACAAGCCAGGTACCCAGAAAACGGTACACGTTTATGACCCAGTCCAGGAAAGGTTCCACATATACTTGTTGAAATTCTGCTCCTCCAGCAAGGCCTACCTTAAGGGCCATCTCCTTCCTGGAGCCTTTTGATAAAAAACGTCATTGGATCAACAGAATTAAGTCCGGCCTCTGAATTCCTAGAGCACTTAATTTTGCCTCCTGTCTTGACAGTACACTGATTATGGGTTGCTCCTGTTTCATAGGCATGTGTCTCCTTGTCATATCTTTCTCTTGCCAGTACGTGGAAAATGGGGAGTGCGTGTTCATCTTTGTGTTCCCTTCAAAGCCTAATTCCCTACCTGGCTCACATTGTTTTACAGAAATGTTTGTTGGAGGGGAAGGAATCTCGCCTTGGGTCTTCCTGCACAGTGGGCAGTAGATTCTGGAGTTGGACAGGAACAGGCACTTAGTGAGCAATCTTGGGGGGAAAATATAGTCTTATAAAGAGTTATACATGAGTATTAGTGAGGCTGGGAATTTTGTTTCATGGAAACATTAGAAAGTCATTTGATAAGCAAGAGATGTGCCAGCTTTCTTCATATAAGTAATTCAAATATAGCTTAGAGGACTTGTAGTTGACAGTCAGTATAAAGTAACGGACTGAACCTTGCTTGAACTAGAAGTTAGAAGGCCCAGGCCTTCCCACCACCAGCCATGTGACATTGGTTGAGTCATTGAACCTCTCCATTGCACCATTGCAAAATTGAAACAATTATAGTCTCTCTTCCTCAGCATGGTTTGAGGGTTAAATGAGATCATCCATGCAGAGCACTTAGCAGAGTTCCTGGAACATGGTGAGCACTTGATCAATAGCAATAAGAATTATTGTTAAGTGACAAGTGGAAGGTGGTAAGTATTTATTGGGTCGTTGAAAAAGTCATGACACATTTTTGCAACGTAAAACATAGAAAAATATGTCATGACTTTTTCGACAACCCAATAGTATATGATAAGAAGGGGCCAAATTTAGAATTT